CTGCCATTTTGACCCCATGACACCCTCTGGTCAAATAGATGCAAGCCCGCTTGACCGTCTTCAAAATCCCCAGACAGTGAATCTTCTTCCTCAGATTCATTCATCTTGTTTAGCTCTTCATATGCCTCATTGTACGCATCCAGGGCTTCCCTAGATAAATTCATAACTAGAGGCTGATCTATGCAACTGAAATCTCCTTCAACAACTGGACTTACTTCCCCAGAGGAGTATCTTGGCTCGGTGGTTGACAACAACCTTTGAACATTCTTATGGTCTGATTCCAGGAGTTGCACCTTCCTCTGGCTGTTTTGAAGGGCTGTCTCAAGCTCCTTCACACGCTCTTGAAGTCTTGACTGAATAACCTCATGGAGATGCAAGCTCAATTCTCGTGGTGAAACTGCATAATTAGCAGAGCAAGTAGGGGAGGTGCCCCTTGCATCTAGATTTGACTCAGATTGAGCAGCAGCTTGCCCGCTGACCATGTGCCTCAGTTCTCCTCGAGCAAAATCTGCTGTAGAGTCTGGGTCAAGCTGGATGATTTTGAACTCTATTAGAACTTGTAAAATACATGGTACAATGAAGCTATGTCCCTAAGGAAAAATCATGAAAAGCTACACAATAAACAAGTAACAGTAAAGGTTCTTCCTCTAGCATTGAGAAGATTGTATTATTATTTGTTTTGTTTTTTTTTCATCCTTTCCTATCGTGTGCTAACTTTGGCTTTAAAAAATGATGCCCCTGTCAGCAAGCATGAATATAACATATGGCCATAGTTATGTGACAGGTTTTGAATCACCAATATCCATGCGGGTCATAGCCATTCAATTCTATGCTGACAGGTGGTTCGACACTGTGAGCACCAGAGTAACCATATTTATGAAAGTGAGCCCAAATCTATTGCATTAAAAGTTCATATGAGACTGGTCCCAAAGAAAACAAGATTGAAAAAGACAACAAAAAACAAAGAAAGAAGGGCAACTCCAGAGGCTGACCAGAACATCATAGAGAACAGAAGGGTTAGGACACGGCAACATTTAATGCAAGCAAACCCAGCAGATAGGCAGTTATGAGAGTGGTGCACGACAGCTTTGAGGGTTGTTATCAATCTGAGTTTCAGGGCTGTTTAAGGCTTGCTTAATGTGGGTTTCTGCTGGGATGTGAGGATGTGGAACAGATTTCTAGCAGCCACACCTATGGTAAGGAAAAATCTAAGCTTCACATCTAGGGTTCTTAGGAGTCACAACCAAGGGAGATTGAGTCACACAATAAAAAAATGCTGGAAATTATTTGATAATATTGCATTGAAAATATTGAAAGATTACAATGCTTATTTAAACAGCTTTGGTCATCCAAGTCCAAGGCCATGAATTCCTAAACTTCCAGCATATCTATTCCTATTTAGAATAGGAAAATCTAATAACTTTAGGACTAATAAAATAAAATGCTAAACAGAAATAAGGCCTTGACTGTGATTTCCAGATTTTCAAGCAACCTGGAAATTCCTAAAATACCCTTAGAACTACTCAAGCTCCCATCATTAGCAATGTGCCAAATCAATGCTCGAGCAAGGATATCATTCTTAGAATGCCTTCTAAAGACTTTTGGAGACTGCTGCTAGGGTGCCCCAACTGAAAGCTCTGGACAATCTTCAATGGTTTAACTTTGCTGCTACAGGGAAACCATAATTAACTAAATTTGCTCGCATAATTGTCAGACTTGGTACTTAGGGAGACTTCCCCAACAAAGATGAGAAATGCTGGGCTATGTAATGGCATCGAAAAATTATGAAAATAAATTTATGGTATTGCACAGAAAAAAATATTATGTGACAGTTAAACATAGAAGTCACAGACAATGAATAGGATTTGTTAAATTGAAATTGGATAACTATGACAATTTTCTGCTTTAATGATAGTGTATATGGAGTTGGATTATGATGCTTAGGAGATATAATAATAAACTACGATAACATTTTCTAAAATACTTGGAACCAAGTTTCACAATCGTAACTCAAGGGCACATAAAACCTTCACAATTGACAAGGCTAAGGTCATGAGTGGCAAGCATGTGTTATAAAAGCGTAAAAACATTTATAGCAGTCATAAAAGAAAGCATGTTGGCCATTCAACATACCATCAAAGGTTGGTTTTCTTTTCCACCTCTCTATGTGATCTTATTGTTGTGTGAATTTGAAACACAACAATACTATTCAAGATATTTCTAGTAGATCTATCTATTTATTTACTAAAAGAAGATAATTTTATCAGAAAGGAAAGAATTAAGAATTACTATAGGGTGTTTCTAGTAGATGATAACAAAGTAAAAGATCACGAACTACGGAAATAGCCATGACACTTAGGTCAGGCAGTAAAAAATATTCGCTTATAATTGTTTCTAAGCTGCTAAAGATTTCCAGTTAAACACAGAAACAATGAATGGATTATCACAGTAAAGGAACGATAACCAATAGATCTATAAACCAAACAAATGCTGATCAGAAGTTAGATACTCTAAATATTTATTTGATTATCTGAAAACTGGGCCTAAATGTTCTGAGAATCAGAATTAATTGGTATGATGAATGCTCAGAGGAAAAGTCATAATGCAGAACCTTGTCAATGAAGTCCCCATACATGGATCCGAAACTGTCAGCCCCTTTTTACCCCTACACACTACAATAATTTTAATCCACTCTGAAAAAAAATGGACATTTGAACTAGTCTTTCTTGATAAAATGGCAAAAAAATCTCACATTCTAAGCAGCTCTAATACATTCTCACTCTAAGAAAAAGAAGGGTTAACCCAATATCATACTACTCAATATCAAATACCTAAAATATATTTGCAAAAGGGAACAGATAAACTACCAATATAAATTTCCCAAACTACCATGTTTCAATAAAAAAAAGGAACAATTATCTGCATTTACGAAAAAATGCAAGCATGTAGATACAAAACTTATTGTCAGGACACTTAGATTCCTGAACTAGGCACCTTTCTAACCCACACTACAGCAATCACAGCCAGGATTTGCACTGACAATTCCTGGGAGTCCTCAGCAAACTAGCAAATAATATCTCTATCCTATATTGATCTATAAAAGAATAAGAAGACAGCAGGATAAATTAATCATATAAGAGGAACTGAATGATGTTAAATTGACATGTGCATTACCTTCTAGTTAAAGAAATTATACAGAATCAAATAAAACTTGTCAAGTTCTAAAACATACCTGTCAGTTATTTTCTTAGTAAATATTTGAAAATGGAAAAGCAATCACAAACAAAAGATGAGCCATATGAGCATGAGTGCAACAAATTACATAATCTCACGCAATGAACATAGTCAATCACAGTGAAACTAAATTTTCAAGCTCTCAAAAATGCTAAACAACTTACCTCAACAAGTTCAGACAATCTTCTCAGGGGACCAGATGGATTCATGTTTAGCCCCAACCTCTCAAGCTCGGCTTCAAGCTCTGCTTCAATTTTACTCATAGACTCTGGACTCTGCTCTGTGTTCTCATTGTATGATACTGCACCAATGTTGTTCATTGAATCATTCACATTCTGTATGAGGAGATGTGGATTCGATGCCATGTAGTGAAAGGAGTTATCACAGGTATCTTGTGATTCATTGTTCTCATTTGCCAGTTGCTTCACAGTCAATGAATCCTTCATCTCAAGTTCCTCTTGTAGATCTTGAACCAAGTTCTGAGTATGTTTCAAATCTTCTTTTAGCTGGTTTACTTCTCTTCCATTAGCCATGAGAGAAGAGATTATACCAATAGAAACACCCAAACAGAATAAAACCGTTCCATCATGTGAACCTGTTGAGAATAAAAGCATCAGGGTTGCAAATAACATATTATTTAAGAAATGAGTAAAGCGTTATTAGAAAAATGATTATGCACCTAAGTTATGGTTAAAGAAGATTTTATCTAATATGGAAAATCAAAACAAGTTATGTGATACCTCATCAACAACAAGATTTTCTAGTCTAAGAATAGATAAGCTTCTTACTTTAAGGGTTTGAATTTCAGTCTTGGGTTATTTCGTAAGATGGGGAAGAACTGTAATTTCTGCATGCTCCAGAATCAGGGGTATTTAGAAACCTTCAGAATGACTTGAAAGTTCTTATTTAGGAATTTGGGGTCTGAGTCTTTAAAGTAATGTTTGGTTATTGGCTTTGCACAAAAGAGATGGACAACTAGGACAAAGGGGACAAGACGGAACAAAAGACAGACAAAGTTATGTTGGCAGGTGGTGTACATGACAAAGTGCAATGTTGGCAGGTGGTGTACATGACAAAGTGAATGTCTTTGTGTTCTATTTGGTTGAGGAGTGGCAAGACAAAACAAAAACATATAAGTCTGTTTTGTCTTCGATATATTCTACCTATCAAACTTACATTGTTTGGAACAATAAATAAAGATCATTATTTTCACTTTAGTTTATAAAGAGCATTAAATTTTTTTTGAACTAACTTAAAATGATAATTTTTCCATTCACCAAAACCAATTTGAAACAAAATTTATAATCATCATAAAGAAGACAATTCATTGCTAAAAAGATAACGTAATTAAACTATGATTTACTCAGTCATTAAATCATTTCTCCAAATATATTTAATAATAAAACAAATTATCAAACCAATCATACGTCAAATAAAATATTTGCACCAACATAGTTAAAATCTAACATAGGTGGAAACGCAAGATAATAATTTCACCACAAATGCATATTTTTTGTTATCATTCAACCCCCACCTTTTCATCATTTTTTATTAAAATCTAGCATATTTTTTTATGATTTTTTCTTTTATATTTTCTAGTTTTCAAATCTACTGGTGGAAATTAAGATAATTAAAACTAAAAGTAAAAATAGAGATTGAAATTATGAAATATTTAAAGTGGCATTTGTAGTAATAATAATAATAATAATAATTTAGTCGTCTCTATCCCCAATGTCCCTCTTTTTTGGAGGGACAAAAAATTGACTAAAAATTGTCCCTGGGACAGGCACAAACTCATTTTTGTTTCTGTCTCTACATCCAGACTTGTATTTGTCCTTCGAGTCTCTCTTTTGTCCTAGAACAGTAACCAAAAGCTATTTAATAGTTTATTCTGTTTAGTTTCTTTCCTAACCAAGTAAGGATTAGTAATCATAGTCTTTTAAGGAGTACTAGTCTCTATAAATAGAGATGTTATGTTTTATTTTCAGTAGAGTTGAATTATCAACTAAAATTGAGTTTTGAGTAATTTTGGAGGCTTGGTGCCTAAGGTTTCTTCTCCTTTCCCTAGTTCTTCTATTTTCTCCTAATTTCACTTATTTTTTGCTTTTATATACTGCTGCTACAGTTCTGCAAGCCATGTTCACAGCCTAATTTCTCCTTATTTCTTCTATTCTACACTATTTCTGCAAATAACAAAACCTAGTTCACAACAAAACCTTCATACAGCACAAATCCCAAATCTGTCCTCCATCAAAACATGATCTTCAGCATGCCAGCTGAACTGACTAAACTAGAAAAGGGTCCACAAACTAGCACACATGGTCTTGCGTGGCTATATATGTCTATAATAAGAGGTATTTATGAAATAACGAGCTACAGATGCCAGTGAGAGAAGGAAACAGATTGCTCTGAAACAATTTGGCATAAATAAAAAACCTAAAAATACTGAATCCTACAGAAAACGAGTCAATTGCAATATTTGCATAAAAAATGGTTCTCTATGTTTATGAGAACTGCGCTGTGTTTGAACCTTTAAGGAGAAAATTACTGGTGCAGCTGACATTTGAAATGCCACCTTGTCCTAATGACAGAAAAGGGGGAAATGATCATTTGGAAATTTTTGCAACTATCATTGGTTCAAGTGATGGCAACTAAATGGCATGTCAGCATGCACAACTTCCATACTGATGAAAAGAAACAACAAGCAAGTAGTATTTCTAAAATATGTACTTCCAGATTTCTATTGCTTTCAAGAAATAACACAGTAAGAAACAGAAAATTATGTAAACGAAGATGGTGCACAGATTTTGGAGTAGCAGAACAGACTTATTCATTGCTTCTTAATGGAAAAATAGGTTCATTCTTGGATGCAAATCTGGAAACATCAACATTAATAAGCGGGAACAATAAATGGCTTAAACATTTTTCATCCAACTAGCATTTGTTTCACAAGATAAACAAGAGTTCACTATGAGAAGAATACCATTTGGTGATCGTAGGTGCTTTTGGGAACTGCTCAATCTTTCAGTCTGCCTCTTTCCACTCTTGGATTTTATCTTCTTCAGGTGATCTGAAAATCCAATTTTTGGTAGTGGAGGAACTCCACAAACAATTTCCTCCTTGTGCCACCTATTATTATCTCTTGCAATTTGTGCACTTAAAGAATCCCTATCCGCTCTGCTAATTATTTGCGTTCCATCAGTTATCAGTAATGGCTTCATAATAGTGGATGGTGACCGGAGAGCACTAAGCACATATTCTTCCATTCTAGCATGTTCCTTGTATAACTGAGCCATAAGACAGCTATCTAGTGAGCTAAAAGGTTTGACAACATGGCTGCCTGAATGTTTAGTTCTAAGAGAGTTCTTGCCAGAACAATGAAAAGAATCGAATTCACCTGTATAAGGGTTACTGGAATTATCATCCATATTATCATTCAGCCCATTTCCATCCTCATTTTCTTTTAAGTTTTCATTTACTGAGAATCCAGGTGGTATGCTCGACATAGAAAGCACATTGCAATCATCATAATTTCTCAATCTTACAATCCTTTCACCAAAACTACTAGTAGATGGTGCTTCAGTGTCTGAAGCACCGTCCAGATGGTACATATCTGAGAATCCTCCATCTGAAAAGTGTCTTCCTTTTGTAAGAGTGTCTTCAGGTTGTTTCCTTCTAATCAATTTATGAAAGGGAGAACTTGAGGTTTCAGGTTTTTCGCAAGTGGAGGTTCCAGAAGACAACTCCAATGAACTAGCCCTATGTTTTGAAAGATTTTGCCAATATTTAGCTATATATCCAGCAGCGGCAGCGGCTCCAACAACCCATAAATCCATATCTGCTCTCCTTCCACGAAGAAGAAAAATAGAGTAATACCTCCCTAATTCCAAGGCATCCTCATTATTTCAATTGTCACCATTAAAATCCTAAAAACAACTACCATTAATTCAAAGAAAGAAAAAAGCCTTCCTAATCTCAAGCATTCAAAATTGCCAACCTGTTCGAACTAATAAAGAGTTTGAAAATGAAAGCCGCTTCCACAGAACGGAAACACTAACAGAACAGCACAAAGCAAGTTTTCTCTTTGTAACTATTGCCAGCACTTTCTCAATGATCTAAATCCAACAAACAATATCCACAACTGATTAACGGAATATGAAGCAAGAATCAACTGCTATAAAGAATTCCAAACAAATGAGTAGAATCCACTATTCCAAATCTGAAAAACAAATTTATATAAGCAAAAACTGAATTTCACAACTCATTCACAGATTATTAATCTAAAATGTACTCACTGGACTTCCAAACCCATCAATCAAAACTCCTACAGAATCCATTAAAGGAACCCTCTTAAGGAAAAGGCAAGATATCCAAAAATCTAACCTATACCCATTTGAAAGCAGTCTCTGAAGCACAAAACCCATAAATGGAAACAACCCATTTTGACAGAAAACCCATCAATGGAAACAACCGATTTTGACCAGAAAACAGGAAGTTTTAACCTTGGTGAGCGAAAAGGGATTGGCTTTTGGAAAGCCTGGGACTTGCCGAAGCAAAAGAGAGCAGAGAACAATGCTGTTGTTGTGCTGGTGTTGTAATGAATCTTTCTGGTTACCGAGGAGGAGATTGTGGATTCCTTGGAAGAATAACACCCATAGCGACGTTATCTACACAAAAAAAACACAGATTTTCTTCCTTCTTTTTTATTTTTTCAACATTACAACGACAACACACCTACTTTTGTTTTGCATTATTATTAGAGTAAAAATATGCGTCTTAAAAGGGTATTTTTATATATAAAAAAATAAAATTAATATTTTTTAATAATTTACATTTACCGATATTAAAAATAAAAAATTATTTTAATATATTATTCAATAAAAATATTTTAAAAAATTTACTATAATACTAAACGCAAACTAATAATTGATAAAATCAAGGCTGAAAAGCGTAAACCTGTATATATATATATATAAACACTATAATTTATTTTCAAATATATTTATAACATTAATTCACTAATTTTAATATATATATATATAAACACTATAATTTATAACATTAATTCACTAATTTGGTACATTAATTCACTAATTTTTTTTTTCAATAGATAGATTCTGAAAATCCATAATTTGGTAGTCTTCGGCACCCACCGCATGTTTGCTAAAACTTAAATTGATTTTACTTAAAATTATTACTTTTTTCTTCATAAATGGATTCCAAAAATCTATAATAAGGTGGAGGTTTGGTTATGTGGTCTGCGTATATTTGTCAAAAAATAATTTTTTTATATAAAATAATGTTTTGTAATTTTTAATATATTGATATGAAAAATAAAATTTTAAAAATAAAAAATATTAGAAAAATTAATCACTATTATTATAATAAACATAACCAAATAGATAGGGGATAAGCACTCCTAGTTAGTTAGTAAATCTGCACTTATATACATAACATTAATTTACTAAAATTATGTTTCTCTCTCTCTCTCTCTCCCCATAAATAAATTCCAAAAATCCTTAATAAGTAGATAGAAAAGGGATAAGCACCAGTGGCTAGTTAATACGTAAGCACCCATAGCGTAGGTATCCTTTATTTTTAGTACATGTTTAAAAATGGAGTTATTATTATTTTTTAAAGTATTTTTTATTTAAAAATATATTAAAATATTATTTTATTTATTTTTTAAATTTTTTTTCAAATAATATTTTATTTATTTTTTAAATTTTTTTTCAAAAAGACTAAAAGAATATTAATTTTATTTAAAAAACAAATTAAAAATTACAAAAAAACATGGTTATTGCGACAATTTAAAATTTTTGTACCTAAATGATAACAAAATCTAATGACTCCAATTTATTTTTTTAATTATTATAGAATGGAAAAAAAAACTATATCCCATTGTGTATAGCTCAAGGCCAACATATTTTTCAATAATAATAATAAAAAAAAACATTGGTACGTACATAAATATTTTATAAGAAAGATCCCAACCTCGATATTCTTATAAAGAAAAGAAGCCCACTCTATTACTTTCTATTTTTAAAGTTTTCATCATCCTATAAAAATATTTAAAAATAAATGTAATGTAGATTTTAAAAAATAGGATGGATGGATAATTTGGTGATAAGTTTTAGCAACGATCGGCCTAATTTTTATTACTTGCTATTCTTTGCGGTAACATGGACATGAATATCTATTTTGACATATTTATAAGAATTTATTTCAAAATAAAATGTTCAAGAAAAAAAGTTGTGGAGGGATCTTATATATAAAAGTAAAATCTGCCTTTTGTATTTAAAAATAAACAAAAATAAAAGACAACTAGATGATTATTTACAAGTTGAATCAAGTTTATCTATGTAAAAAAATATTTTGATGTTGTTAATATATTTTTTAATATAAAATTAAACTATTTGTAGATTGATTTGATTCAGTTAATTTGATAAATTTAAGACAACTCAGGCTCTGTTTGTTTGCAAGAAAGTTGTTTCCTTTTGGAAAGTGAATTCCGGGGAAAATGAATTCCTGAAAAGTAAATTATTTTTCGATGTTTGGTAGTGTTATGAAAAATGTACTGGAAAACACTTTCCAGTGTTTGGTTATGTTATAGAAAATAAACTAGAAAATAATTTATCAATGTTTTATTTTTCTTAAGTTTATTAAAATAATAAGGAACAAATCTTATAAATTAAAGTTTGGAAAGTGATTTTTCAGAAACCACTTTCTGGAAAACAAACACAAGAAAGTTTGGAAAGTGTTTTCTTGGAAACCACTTTTCGGAAAACAAACACAGCTAAAAAGGAAAACACTTTCCTGAAAACCAAGCTAAATTTTTCTTTGACTGAAAAATATTTTTCGTTGACCAGAAAGTGTTTTTCGTTGACTAGAAAGTGTTTTCCGTTGACTAGAAAGTGTTTTTCGTTGACCGGAAAATGTTTTTTGTTGACCAACTTTCCTAATGGCAAACAAACACGGGAAAGTTTGGAAAGTGGTTTCCCGAAAACTATTTTCCGGGAAACAAACATGGCCTCAGACAACCGATAAAAAGATAAAAATATAATTTGATTAAAATAATAAAGATGTTATTTTTGAAAATATTAAAATGACAATATATTATATCAATTCCAGTTAACCCGTCAAATTTGCAACTTAAATCATAAGATCCTAATGACTCTATAGAAATAGAAAAAAATAATAATTATTAGATTATATTCTTAATCAATTTAATGTTGAAGGAATGAACTAAAAATAAAATTCAATTAAAAAATAAACCGAGTTAACCAGTCAAATAAAATTCAATTAAAAAATAAATCGAGTTAACCAGTTAAACCTGGATCATGAGATTAAGATAACCCCATTAAAAAATAAATCAAAATAAATTATGAAGCTCAATTATTAATTAATCTAATGTTAAATGATAAAATTAAAAGAAAACACAAAAAACCCACCTGAGTCAACAGACCAAACTCATGACTCGAGTTATGAGATCGAAATAACCTCATAGAATACAAATAAAAAAAATTATAAAGTTTAATTCCTAATCAATACAATATTTAAGGATAAAATTTAAAAAAATCAACTAGAAAAAAAAAAAATAACATGAGCTAACTATCTTAACGCGTGACTCAGGTTATATGACCATGATAATTCTATAAAGAAAAAATCAAGAAGTTATATTTCTAACCAACCTAATGTTGAATGATATAATAAAAAAAATTAATTAAAAACAACAAAAAAAGCCTATGTCAACTTGGCTAATGTGCAAAACTCATGATCTGAGTCATGAAACTGTGATAACCCCATAGCAAATAAATCAAAAAAAATTATAAAGTTCATTTCCCAATCAATCATATATTAAAAGATAAGGTTGAGAAAAAAAAATCTAATAAAAAAAGGACCAAAAAATTACCCTATTAATAAAGCTACTAGCAAAACTCGTGATTTGGGTTATGAAATTGAAATATCTTTATATAAAGTAAATTAAATTAATATATGAAATTCAATATTTAGTAAATCTAATATTTAAAAATAAAATTAAAAAAAACTAAGTATAATTTTTTTAAAAAAACATCATAAATCTAATGATTAAAATGAAAAAAACCTTAACATTTAATTGTACATTGTTGCAGAGAAGTAACTTATAAGTATATGTTAATGACCAAACCACCTAATTTTTAACATATTTTTATATTTTAACTTTATAAATCTAAAATTATTAAGTTAATCTAGTCATGTATCAAGTGAAACCATCATATAATTTAGTGTTTTATCTAAAATATTAGCAAGAAATGCAAGGAAGCTAAAAATCACGAGCTCCATATCACTATTCTTTTGTCATTGGGCTAGAGATTTTTGTGGATCTACCAGGAGAAACTGAAAAGCAACAGTAGAAGGAATTTGCCTTTTTTATTTTTTATTTTTGAAAAATGGGTATAAAAAATGAAAACTAGAACTTTAGGTTTAAATGCAATATTTTCTTTATAGTTTATTTTTTATACAAGTTTTTCACTGTTTTTCAAATAAAACAATACAATTTTTTTTAATATACAATCACTTTTTAGCAGAAATAAAAGATTAAAACTATTTTTATATATTTTTATATTTAATTCTAGCAATGTTATAAATTTAATATAAATATTTTTTTGAGTTAGCACTATTAAAATAAGAAAATCTAATCAGAAAAGAACGTGAAATAGGCGAAAAGAACTAATTAAGTGATTTTTTAAAGTTAGAAAGACGATTTATTTTATAAAACTAAAAATACTAATTTATAATTACTCCGCAAGTCACGTGGCGAACAGTGCATCTTTGTTTTTGTCGAAAGGGCGATCATATCAAAGGTCTCGCTTAGAATATCCAAAGGCCAGAAACAAATGGAAAACTCCACGGCCACATCGATACCTATCTTTCTTTCATGTACATTCACTCGAGATCCAAGAGATATTTCTCAATGGGCGTGTGGTTTAATTGTTAGCTTTAGTAATAAATTAAAAGAGCAAATTACTCTGAGCAAATTTTTTTTCATTATTTTATAATTAAGTTTTTACTTATTATATTTTGTAATTTAAAATTTAAAAGCGGATAACACTTTATATTCTTGGAAGTTAACATGAAAAAATTTAATAAAAATACATATATTTATTTAGAAAACTGTTATTATATTTAAAATGTTAACTTTTCAAAACATCATCCCGAATAAAAAAATCAGAAAACCTAGCCCCATTAATTTTTTTTTCTTTTTCTCTAATTTGTTAAAATTTTATTTTCTTGTATAAAAGATCAAAACATCTCGAGGTTCACTACAAAACTAGCCATTTTAGTATTATTGTATGGAAATCAACACTTTAATATTTTTTCATATTGAGCAATTACTTCGATAACCTATATTTTAGATATCCAATAATCCAGTTAACATATATCAAATATTCTGATATTTCTATTCGAAAGATAATAAGTTAGTCGACACATTGATTGCCAATCAATATGGCATTCCCATTCAAAAGCCAATAATCCGGTCAATTCCTCTTGATTACTAATTAATTTTGTATTCCTTAATGAATATCAATCAATCATAACGGCATGTATATCTTTTTTTTCTTTGTCTACTAACCATGTCATTATCCACACTTTTATAAATCAACTAATTTACATAATAAAAATAATGAAGCTTTTAAAGAAAAGTTTATACAAATACCAAGTGTCTACCTGCAACTTGATTATGAGCAGTTCCACCAGCACATTGAATCACCCTAACAATCTTATGCATTGTCAAGTTTTTTCATTAATTATCATTTTTGCTTAACAACATAGTCCTTATTCATCGTAACATTCATTATAGTTCTATTTAAGTTTTTCATCTATATTTTCAAATCATTCACTACACAAAAAATCAATTTAATTACAAACAATTTCATGATTCCTTCAACTCTTATCAATTTTACACAATTCTATAAAATTTACATTTCACTAAAATTTTACAATTTCACCCTTTTAGGCCCAACTATTCAATTACTTAATATTTTATCATTTCATTATTTTAACTCAATCAAAATCATTATTCATACAATCACATGCATATTTATAGCACAATTAATGGACAATACCATAAATACATAACTTCCCATTTAATTCTCTATTTGGTTGGCTCCTATAGACTTTCTATCTATCATATTTCTTCATCATTCTTTCATGATTTTACTCCCTTGACAACTCACAACAGTTCTAGAAACTCAATTTCCAAGAAATCTTCATTTCCCTCAATTTTATCTTAAGAACCTTAATTAAATTGTTTTGTCAATTTAGTTTAAAATCACTAAACTCTTGTTGAAATTGATACAAAGGGGTTTTGAACACCTTACTCGATTAGCGAACAAAATTTAAAAGTTGACCCATTAAGACTTTCCCAAGACTTTTTCTTTTTTTTTTCTTTTTCCAATTCAATCTTCCCTCTCTTTGATTTTTAATGTGAAAGTATTTTTCTCTATCAAAGTCCTCTCCTTTCACTCCTAAATATCACTTTCTAGCCCTTTAAAGTTAAAGGAAGGAAGAAGAAATGAAAAAGCTATCTTCTCTATTTTGGCTACCCCCGTCAATTTTAAGAAAATAGTAGCAAAATAGTCTAAAAATTTTTAGAAATATTTTAACCAATTCACTAAATTCATCTAGCCGTGTCTCAAAATGGCTAGACTAATTTTGCTACTAGAAAGATTTACATTTCTTGGCCATAAACTTGTCTCTTTTTTTTTTAATCTTTTTATCGTATTTTTTCTTAATATTATCTCATTATTCTATAATTTTGATTATTTTTAATTTATCTTGAGAGTTAACATTCTTCCCTCCTGACAAGAAATTTTATCTTTCAAATTTAATTTGTACTTGTATCAAAAAATAACCCTGGATATTTTTTCCTTATCTCAAACTCTCATTCACATGTTATCTCCTCAATATGAGAACTTTTCCAAAGTTTCTTTACCATGAGAATCCTTTTATTCTAGAGTTTCTTCTCACTTTTATCTAATATCTGGATTAGACATACTTCCAAAGTCAAGTACTCATTTATCTACAACAGAACTTGGTAACACAGTGAAATCTATTTATGCCTTCTAAAGTAATGATAAATGGAATACATCATATATATTTGAAAATTACTGACATAAAGATAATATAGATGCTATAAGGCCTATCCTCTAAACTATCTCAAAAGGACCAATGTATTTAGGAGTAAATTTTCCTTTCATTCCTAATCGCATAATATACTTACACAGTGCAATCTTTAGAAACACTCAATCACCACTTCAAACTTGAGGGGCCTTTGTCTTCTATCTGCATAACTTTTTGGTCTATCATGAGTTGCTTTCATTCTATCTTTAATTACCTTTACCTTATCCGTGGTAATTGTACTAACCCCATGCCAATCAATTTTTTATCACCTACCTCTTTCCAACATACTGAAGTTTGACACCTTCTTCCATACAGAGCTTTATAGGGAATCATGCTTATAGTAACTTGATAATTGTTATTATAGGTGAACTTCACCAATGATACATAATCCTTTCAATTCTCTCCAAACTTTAATAGATATAACCTCAACAAATCTTTCAAGGTTTGAATGGTTCTTTCTGATTGATCATCTATTTAGGGATGAAAAATAATACTCAATTCAACTTCATCCCTAAAGCACAATAAATACTTGACCACAATCGAGATGTAAACCTAGGGTCTCAATCAGACACTATGGATACTGGAATTCCAAGTAATCTAACTACTTTCCCACATATAATTTTGCCACTTTATCAACTAAATCTATCATCTTCATAGGAAGAAATAAAACAGATTTCAATAATCGATCTACAATAACCTAAATTGTATCACTACCCCTTTTCCCTCTAGACAATTTAAAGACAAAATTCATGGTGACGTCCTCCTATTTTTACTTGGGTATCATAAGTAATTGTAATTGTTCAACATGCTTTTAGTACTCTACTTTCACTTACTAATACATTTCACATTTAGTGGGTGTTTAGAAGTGCTTTTTAAAAGTGCTTTTGAAAAAAATTGAATTTTTTTTTTTGCTTTGAATTAATATGTTTTTGATATTTTTAAATTATTTTAATGTGCAGATCTCAAAAATAATTTTTAAAAAATAAAAAAAACATGATTGATATAATTTTCAGACTTTGAAAAGCAACTGCAACCACATTCCCAAATATGTTGTTAATCATATATTTTGCAATTTCTCTCTTTATGTTTGGTCATCAATAAAACTCTTTTAAATCATGATACATCTTAGTACTACCAGAATGTACTATAAGTTTGGATTTATGAGCCTCGCCCACCACTTTATCCTTCAAGTCCTTAACATCAAGCAAAAACAATTATCTTTCTATTGCTACAATTCCATCATTCATAATATAAAAAGGAATCTCAATCTCGTCTTTTATCTTTTTCACTCATGTATCCTTTAATTAAGCTTTTAGTATCTTGTCGCTTAACACATATCATACTTTAATTTGGACCAACAACAACCCTTTAGATCCTATATTCATTTAGATATCCATCTTTCTTAACTCTGCTATTTCTCTTTAGCTTTTTCCGAATGATAATATATCACGTAATCATAATTCTTAATCAACTATATCCATCTTCTTTGATGCATATTCAACTTTATGATTGATGAAAATTTGAACTTGCATTCCATATAAATAGTGTTTCTACACTCTCAATACAAATACTACAACAAATTCTAGATCATGAACTATATAATTAACTTCGTGATTTTTCAATTGACTTGACATATAAGCAATCAACCTTATATGTTGTATCAAGACACACCCAAGTCCTCTTTTAAACGTATTACTGACTTTTAAACGTATTACTGTAGACCACACGACCTTTTGACCCTAATGGAATTGTCAAAATAGGGGTGGTTATAAGTTGCTTCTTTAACTCTTGAAAACTATTTTTACATGCTTCAATCCATTCAAACTTCACTTCCTTTTAGGTCAATGAGTTGCAATCATGGAGAATTCTTTTATAAATCTCATGTAATACTAAGCTAAGCCTAGAAAACTTTTAATTTCTATAATGCTACTAACTCTTTCCCATTTCATCATAACTTTAACAAAAATTCCCTCCTATTCCCTTCATCATTATTACATGCCTAAAAAATATTACTTATTTTAATTAAAATTTATATTTATTCAACTTGACATAAAGTTGATCAACCTCCAACATCTAATCTCATTGAAATTCATGACATGATTTGCAAGTTTAATAGGTTTACCTACCATACCCTATGTATATTGTTTTTTTTTTGTTTTAATTTTTTTAATTATTTTTTTCAAGTTCATCATTTAATATCAAATTCATTAAAAAATAAACTTTACTATTTATTTTGATATGCTTTTTAGAATATCAGTCTCAAGCAAGTATTTTAATATTAAATTGATGATTGATTTTATTAACTATTTTTTATAATATAAATAAATAATAACAGATTTTGTATTAAAAAAAAGTTGTTAAACCTAATAAACTTCAAAATCTAAATAACATGATATAAATCAATTTAATCTATCATCATTTCAATATTTTTTTTTATAAAAAACATTAATTATTCCAGATGTCTTAGTCTAATAGTTCAAATCCAATTCACATCTAGACAAGTATCAAATAATTCAATTTAAGATTTAAACAAGGTAAACCGAATAAAAAAATCTCATAATGCACATGTTTGATCAAATTTAATAACAATACTAATAAACTCCCCACTACTTTGATATATTTTGTTTTATTTGTAAAAATTTTAATCCATCCTTTCCATCTAGTGCAGGTCAATGAGCTAGTATAACCTAAAAAACAGTCCTCCAATTAATGATAAATGTCACCATTACAGTGGCAATGGACACCCAAGTTTTCAATTAGCAAACAATGTTCTAGTCGCCAAATCTTGTTTTTCTTGTGCATAGTGGGGGGATCAAACAATGCCAAACAGGACTACAGTAAAATTTACAACAGTTCTCGAGTGTTCAAGCCAGAACCACATGATTAAGAGCTGAAAAAAGAACCAAAAATAAAAATAAACCATTATCGATCATGGACTTTATTTTTAATTCCCAAAAACAGAAAACAATGCTGGGTGATTATTAGAGTCGCTCAACAAAAACCTCAAAAGTAGCCCCATGAAGTTCCTAGCCATTGATATCTTCAATTTTAACCCTCCAGTGCAGCTGCTCCGGATATAATCTCAGTCAACTCCGTTGTGATAGATGCTTGACGAGTTCTGATACAAAAATATCAAGCAAATTCCAGAAATCAGTTGTCAAGAACAAATGAAAGAACAAAACAAGTTTGCTTGGCTCCAAATCATCATATGTAAAAGAAAACAAACTCCCCACCATCTCAAGTACGAGATAGAAAGTTGAGCGCTATTTTAAACCAATCAACTCAGTTTTGCCAAGCCACTAACAAGATTACAACCTTCTCAAAATTCGTTTGGTACAAAGGCTACAAGTTGAGGTGAATCGTTCACGAGTAATTATTATAGAACTAACTCTTAAAGCCCTAAAGTTGTATATAAACATGTTTGGTGTATTGATGAAATGGAGAGATTATTAAACTGCTGTTGGTGTGTGTGTGTGGGTGTGTGTGTGTGAGAGAGAGAGAGAGAGAGAGAGAGACAGAGAGAGATTTGAGTATGGTTCCTTGAGAGAGAAAAATCTGGATGCCCCCCCACCCCCTCCCCCTGCCGAGCCAAAAATTGTACCAAACACAACTATTACCCAAGCTAAATTTTCCATTCATTACTTCACTAAATATACTTTCAGGGTCAAAATAAGATTCCCAGCATGCATTTGTATCCAGAGAAAGTAACCTGTTATAAGTCAGTGTCAGGCGATCAAGCATATCTCCAGCATTTCTGCTTGAGCTGTCCATAGCAGACATTCTTGCACCTTGCTCACTGCAAGCATTCTCCATTACAGCATTGAACAGAACCTGAAGAAAATTTGAAAATTTACATGTATATCCCAGACATACTATAAGGTTCTGTGGAAGAAACAGGCATCAAACTAAGTGCTTGTTCAGTATTGTGGTACAAGTGCTTTTTAAAAATGTTTTTCGCTTGAAAATACATTAAAATGAAATTTTTTCATATTTGTTTTTATCATTTTTATATCAACACATCAAAATCATCGAAAAACATTAAAAAAAACATCAATTTGATGTTTTTTCAACACCAACGAACTTTTGAAAAGCACCAAAAAAACAAAAGCTACTGCTCTTAACTAGTCAACTAATGAGGGTCCTAAAACAATAGATTGCAGTGGATTATCAAAGGTTACAGGCGTCAAATGAAAGAAAAGAAATGGAGTTAAATAAGCAAGAGGGTGAACGGGGCTACTCAACTGGTCAACTAAACTTGTACCAGTAATATAAAACCTACATGGTTGAATGAGCCCTAAATGGCATAAACATTAAACAGGGTTGAACTACTGCTCTCAAGTTTCTAGTCTAAGTTTGCGTGCATACATGCTTTAAGAATTGGACTCACATATTTTGAGAATTGGACTCGAATCGGACTCACATGCTTTGAGAATTGGACTGTCCTAAATACTACTCAGAAAATAAAGGTTTGTGGCAACGCTTACACAAGAGAACTGGAACTCGGCAAGATTCTGAAGTATTTCACCCTTTGTTTCACCACCTTCAATCTCATAGGAATCAAGATCACCAAGCTTCCCATCAGATTCAGCCTCTTTCTCCACAACCTATATCAACATTCAATCATACACCCACAATCCTTAACCAAAAAAAAAAACCGAAGTGTATACATAGTAGCAGGTGCACCACTCTGAATCACCTCAGGAGATAATACAGTTGCCATAGTTGGAAGAAATGAGACCACTGACTGGAACTTGTTGAAGATAATCCTCAAAGCATCATATTCCACATTCTTTAAAATGTCATCTGCCAGAACAGAGACCTGAAATAAAAAAAAAAAATCAAATGGAATTGCTGGAGAATTTTTGTAAATTATTCTATAATAAGATTAGTAGCTTATATAATGTACAAGCTATTAATTGACTTCAACTCTTTGTTATGAGAGGAAAGAAAACGAGAGGAAGGGAAATTATGGAAAAAAGTTCTCTCTCTCTCTCTCTTATTTTTAAGAGGGAAATACAAAAGAAAATAGAGATATTCCTTATGGATGTAAAATAAAATTAAATGTTAAGAAAATGTCGGTAGTACAATTACTTTAATGTCTTCTATGTTCCTCATACCATAAGATTTTAAATTTTAAATCAAACATAAAAAGGTATTTTTATTATTTGAATCAACACCCCACCCAAACCCAAAAGCCCACATGCACTCTTAGAATTGGAGAGATTAGCTTTTGTGGGCTCAAGGGAAACTTTCTCTCACTTTTCATTCCCTTTGTTTCCACTCACCCTTCCAAACAAAGTAAAATAACTGGGCAAATGCATAAAAGAACCCATCATATGAGAATTATAACAGATATCAGTGCAACCAGGGACTTGCTACCAGGTCCATTTAACAGCAAACAGTATTAGAATGATGGGTACAAAAAACAAGAGCTCAATCCATGATAAACTGGGCACAAGCAGCTTGCTGGCCATAGAAACTGATTTTTCCCTCCTATCTTCTTCATTAAAACAATTTGGGATTTAAAACTCTAAAAAAGTCTATACATGTGCATGTAGAGAGATGAGGTTTTTTCTCGAGATACTTGGTCCAGGAAATATGACCAACTAACCTGGGTATAATTCAGGGGATTCTTCTGCAACTCTGTCATGCATATTGTAATGCTCTTTTTTGAATCACGTATCAACTGCACCTTTGCCTTTTCTCCCAAGATGACAAATTTAGTTTCTTTGTCAGGACCTAGGAAAGTATAAAAATATATTTAAGGTTTCAAAACAGCCAAACCCATTGCAAACAAGAAAAAAAATTGATGAAGAAAAGAAAAGAAAAACACACCTGAAGTCAACCTGTTAATGGCCCTGCTGACCTTGACTGCTGTAGAGTTAATACCACCACACAGACCTTTGTCCGAAGATACAGTGACAATCACATTCTTCTTTACATCAACACCTAGCAAACAAAATAACAGCAAAGCCAAAAAGAAAATAAAAGAGGACAAAAATGTATTCAGTGATAGAAAATAAACAGTGTACGATAGCAAGAGTGACATAGGTTGGGAAGGGGAAAACAATAGAAAACAGAAATCACAGTGAATATTGGATAAAATTGAAATTGGAACAAGATAAAACCTCTAGAATCTTAATAGATTGATAAAATAACAAAGAGCATCTATAAAATAACCCTAGCAGTCTATTCATACTAGTAAAATCATAATAATATCACATGCTAATCACATGACAGCTAGAACTCCAAGGACTCCTAAATTAAACAAGAAAATAAGAAATTATAGGAAAATTATTAAAAAAAGCTCCTGCATCAAAGACAAGTTTTTGAAGTGCATAAACTTATATGTTGTGTGGGCAATTTAATGTTTTCAGAATCAGTATTCTAATCAAGAATTTGAAACAAATTCCTCCACCATTTTTTTCATTAATTGAGTAAAAAGGGCGCTGAATTTTGAAATGTTGTGCTGGTAATTTCTCACATTTCTTAGATTCTTAATTCTCTGTTTTCAAGGTAAAGTAAAGAGATCAATCTGAAGTTTCTTAGGAGGTTGCATCTTTTCAAGTTTGAACCAATCTTATTCCTGCAAGCTCTCACATTCTTGTTGCTACCACCATGAATTCTATAAGCTTCTAACTTCAGTAAAGAGAAGGACCCACTGAGGCTCTACTATTTGAAATATTCATAGGGTTTGCTCATAACAAATTTCCATTCCATCAATTAATGATAGACCATATTAATAAATGCATCAAAATATACACTCAGATAATAATTAAACGCATCTAAACAATGCATCCTTGTGAGTACAAAATATAAATCAACCACTGCATGCAAGCATTCAAAAAATCTTGACCAAACTTTTGTGGGAGTTGCAGCATAATGACCAAAATAAACCAGAAAAACATGGTTATAACTTAGAACATGCACTCAACACAACATGAACTAATGAAACCAAATTACAGTTGTTTTTAAGACTAGAAAATTAAGACTAGAAAACACAATCCTTACTTTCAATAACTAATTAATTGGAAAGTTGAATATAATTGGAAGATATAAAATATCAAATAGATGCAAGTTAACAAAGCAGTGGCTAGATAAAAACTTCTCAGAACATACTAGGAGTATCTCCAAGAAGCGCAGTAAATGGTTGCCATAGGCCACGAGAATTTTCAGCTCTAGTTTGAATTAATCGCAACTTTGAGGCTGCAACCATCTTCATAGCCTTCGTAATTTTCTGAATGTTCTTGACACTTTTCATCCGATTCCGAACTGCATAAGATACATCACAATTAGTTGTCCACAGTTCCAGGTTTCAGAGACTTAATTTAGTAAAGATGCAGCAAGAAATAAAATCTTAAAGTCAAATCAAAAGATCAAAGGATGCAACAATTGAACAGCAACATTCTTACCAACTTGAGTTGAAATGGAACGCACTCCAAGAGGGACATGCTCCCTGCAAATTCTTAGAAAATTATTTATCTTCCAATTAAAAGTAGAGGAACTTTCTTAAAGCATCCAAAAGAAGCAATCAAGTCAGAGGAAATCATGGAAGGTGATATATGCAAGCAAACATGCACAGAAAGTTATTCTCTCTCATACATTGATTTATTTTATGAATGTTCTACAAAATCATTTAGTTATACATATTCGTATGATGTCTAAAATGCAGCTAGTTAAAAAATCTGATCAAAGAAGACAGATGAATCATGATTAACACTCAAGCGAAATACAACTTGATAAGTGATGTTCCCAAATATCACTCAAACTCAGTTTAAAGTTGGAAGACTTGTTTGTTAGAACCATAGAAAAAAAATTATTATTTATTTCATTGTTCCTATGAGCCTGCATTTTTTTTCTTCAAAGTTTTTAAATGAAAATACAAACCCCCCATGTTTCCACCATCTTCACATTTTAGGAATCACAGAAATGCTCTCATCAGGGCAATTCCGCAACTGAAATAGAAGGCTGTTTTCAGCCACATTACTACCTGGATAGCTAAACAACAATTTATACAAAAGAAGAGAGCAAGCAAGAGTATTTATATTTATATTTATAAATAAAGCTAATTTGCCCAAGGAACTTCAATGGAACCATATTGGGTATTCATGAATTATACTGGAACTACTCACCGCTCAAACAAATGGCTAATTGGCTGGTGTTAATGGCACAGACCCATGAAGAAGAAGCGATAAAACAGCCTCTTAAAAAACCCTTGTATTTTTTTTATCTTTCAATATATATAATAAAGAAACCCGTTAAATAAACATTTCAAAATCAATAACAATCCCAACAAATTTTTCTTTTCTTTTTTTTAATTTTTTATCTCATTTCGTTATCAGCTAAACAGAGAACAAACACACAGAAAGAGAAAATAGAGAAATGAAAAGAGAATAAATCTGATTGATTCATACTCGGGGATGAGAGCGGATCGGACGGGGGTTATTGGTTGAGAGGAAATGAGAGGGGAGGCAAATCTCCTTCCTTCGCGTCTCAAAGCAGCTGCCATCGCCATTGCTGTAAATGATTCTTCCGGCCAAACCCTAGAAGCTGTTGTTTTTGTGGTTAGATCGAGAATTTATTATCGACTGCGAGTGAGCTCAGCCTTGGGTGTGCGGGTATTTTTTTAAACTATATTTTCGCTTTTTTCGCTCTTGTTTTAGGAAAGGAAAACCATAGTTTCTGCCTCGTGTTTGTAAGAAAATATCAATTTGCACCATATATTACCGATTGATTTAATTCTAACCAATCTCTCTAAATATTTTTTTCTACTTATTATCATACAAGCCATCGGCATAGATCTTTCATTCTCTTATAGTGATCACAAGATTTAGTAATACATTAGCCCGTGCTATTTAATGGGTTATTATTATTTTTAAAAAAATTTAAAAAAATATTAAGAATTATAAAATATTTTAAATATTTTAGATTTTCAGTCCAAACCAGACATCTTAGAGTTAATATCCATGCTAGCCTCAAAAGAATTAAGTCTAGTAGCCATATTAGACCTAAATAAACAACAAACAATGAAAGAATTATTATGCATTTTAGTTGTAAAAAGAGAGATAATAAAAAAAATACAAATAATCAATCATTAACGGCAATCTAACCAGGCAAACAACATATCATTAGAGGATAATTATGTATTTTAGTTGTTAGAAAAAAGAAAAGAAAGAAAAAAATACAAATAATCGATCATCGATAGCAATCCAATTGTGATATGCATACACGTACCGTATTGTGTGTAAAAAGGGACAGTTGTGCATCTAGTGAGATAATAGATAGTCAGATTTGATCATAAAAAAGCCTTGCAATAAAGTTCAGAACCTACTGTATAGGATTTGTATCAGTTTTCAAGTTGACTTTATTTTTTTCTATTTTATTTATTACTCTTTTAATTTTTGAGCATTTTTTAGGATTTTTTTACCTATTATAAATAGCTTATTTAGCTTTTATATATATATATATATAAACTTTGAGTTCATAAATTATTATTGTGTACGTGACTTATACTTTTTTGTTCTTTATTGAACTACTTTAACTTATCAAAGAACTAACTAAGTTTCATGGTTTCTTCCATACATCTCATTCATGTCTCTTAATATGTATTGGGTGGAGGTCCGGTTTTTATAGTCTTGGTATCTCAATACAGGTTATTATTGTGTCAAGCTCAATTATAAGTCTAAATTTAACTTTTTTGAGAAAGATCAATTTGATTGTGGGTTTCTAAATCTTTATATCTATAAGGTTTGCATCAGAAGGGTAACAAATAAATAGATATTAGGTATAACATAAATTATATAAAAGTATTTATGTGATCAATAGAAGATTCATCATCCTAGATAAATTAGAGAAAATGTTTCATTTATTCTTAAATAATATTGATTATGAAATCCTTATACAAGGTGGAATGAATTCAAAAGGAGTTTTATTTTTTTGGTGGAATGAATTCAAAAGGAGTTTTATTTAAAAAAAAAAAATCATTGACTATGATGTTAAGAATAAATATGATTTGATAGAGGAGACACCCTTCATGCTATAATATTTAAATTTGAACATTCTTGATAAAAGTATGATAATTAAATTAAGAAACTAGTCACTGAAAAGTTAAGTCAAATTATTTATGATATTTTTAATATTTGAAAGATCATGACACGTTGTTAAAAATTATACTTGATCTTCAAATATGAGTTAATTAATTTGTTGAATTAATAATAAGTTAAATTCTTTACTTTATTTAATCATATTTTATTTAGGATTATGATTTATATTTGGATCAACTTATTTTGACCAACTTATTAGAGAACCTAACATAAGAATCATTCGTCATAAATTGAATTGAGATAATTAATCAAGTGATATTTGATTGTATATAAGTTTTAGAAATTAAGGACTAGAATGTATTTGCAATAAGAGATTACAATTTGAGACCTAGAAAAATCAAGTTAAGACTTAATTGAATAAATTTCTATAACTATCATAAAAAAATATATTAATATTATTCAGGGAGTATATTGATATTTTTCTATTTATAGGGTTATTAGCTTTTCCTTATTAATAAAATATTACGCCTCATTTTTTTTAACATAAAAATTACGTAAGTTATGGACTATACAAAAATACTTGAAAACATATAAACGAAAAAGTTAACGTTTAAAGGTATAGCATTCCTTCTCTTCTAAAAAGGATTCTAGAAGATTTTTCACTAATGGTTTATGTAAATAATCTTGTTAAAGGCTAAAAACTTAGACGATTTATGGTTTGCGACAACCCAATTTTAAAAAAGTTGATCAAAACTTAAAAGAAGATATGATTTTTAGATAATCTTTATATAAATCTTAAATGACCCTAGATTATCCAACAAGATTCTTGAAAATTCTAAAAAAAATTAAATTTATTATTTTTATTACGTTTATGTGTTATAAGAAACCTAACAATGGTATCAAAGTTAATGTTAAACAAATATGATTGTTGATTGTATGTTTTGATTGTGATGGAGTTAATTTTAAATTAATTTTACATGCAAAACTACTTTTTTAAAAATTAATTTTCTCTAATGATTTTTCAAAAAAATATCATTATAATTATTTTAGCTAGATCTTGCTGGAAAATTGAAAAACAATGACACCAACTCTAGATTTGCGAACACTTGTTGCTGTATAGCATGCAACAACCAATAGCTATTGACGTGCTAGTAGCGTGAAAAGCAATAACCCATGATTGTTACCTTGCCAAGTGTAGCACTTGAAGCGTTAATGACAAGTGTCATGCATGGTTAGTGCCCCACGTTATAAATGACACAACAACATGCTTTATTGTTGGTGGTGTTGTTGCTAATGATAATATATGAAGCCATTGTTAACTACAACTAAAGGAGAAGATGATAAGGGGTATAATTACAATTCTACCCCTCCTACTTTGAATAGGGTTTTTTAAGGAAGAATTACAATTATGTTCCTTCAACTTATACCTTATAAAAATTATGGTATTTTTGTTTATAATTCTACCCTTACGTATATAAAATTCAGACTTTATATTTAAATTGAGACCCTAAATTAAATTAATTATATAATTATTATTTCTAATTGGATTAGCATTGAATTAAGTTTTTAAATCTAAATGTTTTGATTTTTGAAATATTCTAATTGAATTAAGATTTAATTAAATTATTCTAGATAAATAATTTCTAAATATAGAGAGTTTGAAGGCAAAAAAACATATTTAACTGGTCCTAAAATGGTTGAGGATGTTAATAAGAATTCTAATATGATTAATTTTCTTATTAAATATTGAAAAATGGATTTTCAAGAAAATATCTATTAAATAAAATTTATAAAGTTTGAGAAATTATCAAATTGGATTTGATATAATATTTCTAAGTGTTAGAAATATTAATTTAAAAATTATACATAAAGCTAGTAATTAGAAATTGAAGAATGCAATATATTTAGTTATGCATATTAATGTGTTTTTATCCATGATATATGATTATGAACATTAAAAGACCAATATAATTGTGTTTTTTTATTGTTGAATGCTTGCAATATTAAATAAAGCATGTATGTCTTCCCTTTTTTTATATTTTTTCTTATGAATTGTAAAGTCTTGAATGTAACTTAAGGTTTCTTATACAATTATATAAATGTTATGTAATTTAGAAATGTAAAAATTTAAATAAAAAATTGTTTTGTAATCAAATACGAAAAGAAAAATGGTGAAAAAGGATACAATCATAGAGCTCATAAAGTTTTGCAATGGCTATCAAGATTTTAACTACCTAATTCTATATGATGGATCAAGAAAGTTAGTTTAGATATGTTTATAATCATCCAATTAAAATGACATGCTATGAATATATGTTTATATATAATTGTTGAGTATGAAATATCAGTAATGCCATGCAATGAGACCTAATTAAAATAAAAAAAATTCCTAGTTAATATATTAAGCATATGTTAAGAATATGATTTGTTGCCTACTAATTTTATATACATAAAACTAGAGCTTCATTCATAGATAACATCTTGAGTCACCCAAGGTTATCATTAATCTAATATATTTAATGCTATTGAATTAGGTCATACTTAACTAAACTTATATGATTTGGATGAGTTGCATATGATTATAAGATTAGAGGTAGTAGTTAGATAAAATAAATATGATATGTTTAGACAAATAGTTGTCATCTAATTGATCTAGAAATCACATATAGATATGATTCATAAGCTATGTTATTTACCTAGTTTAATTTATTTTTTATTTGTTGAGGCACTCAAGGTTGGATAAACTAAATGAGATCCTATTTCAATAGGAGATTTAAGCGAGATTTCCTAAATTAATAAAGAAGACCATTAATTTGCAAGAAAATAGTAAAAGACAAAAAATGATTAAAGATCTTATCTAAATTTGGTAACAAATATGTATGCATGAAACTTATAACTTGTTATATTTACATGAATAGGTTGATAGATAAATATAAGTAGTAATATATCCCTAGCATACTTAATGATAACAAATTGATTGGACCAAACTTTTTAGACTAGTACTACATGTGAGAATCGTTCTCAAATAAGAAAAAAATGTTATATGTTCTTGAAAATCCAATTCTCCTTGCTCTTAATAAGGATGTTGATGAAAAAGTTAGGACTAAATATCAACATCATATTAATAATAGTGAGCATGCTATATGTGTGATGTTAGCCAACATGTCACCAAAACTTTAAAGATAATACAAGAATATAGATGCTTATATTGTAATTATACATCTCAAAGAGTTTTTTTTACTATGGCTAGTAGGGTTGATAAGCATAAAACCTCTAAAGAATTGTTACACTACCAGATGATCAAAGGTTCTCACATGAACACTTATTTTCTATTTATAATTGAAAATTATCTTTCTACTTCATAAAATATTTTTTAGGTATTAGTTACCTAATATGGTTTTTATATTTTTAATAATATAGAGCTAAAGAGAAGTAGAATATTATGAAAAGGTGAAGTAGTTCTACGTGTTAGTGATGAAGTAAGGGTTGCTACATTAACTTTGTCAAAAGGAGGCATTTGCCATGCATTTAGTCATCTTGGTTTCCAGATTAAGATCATGTTCTTGCTTTCTCTCTTTGTATTTTTGAAATGCTTAAGTTTTGCTTTTATTAATATCT